AAGGCTGGGTGCTCTTCAAGAAGGAAATCTTAATGGCGCAGGAGCAGACTGTCCCCACGTGCCCACAGACGAGCTGGCAGGGAAGAAGACCGGCCTGGCTCAACAGAGAATTGTGGCTTGAGCTTAGGAGAAAAAAGAGGGTTTATAATCTTTGGGAAAAAGGGCGGGCCACTGAGGAGGACTATAAGGATGTTACGAAGCTGTGCAGGGACAAAATTAGAAAGGCCAAAGCTCTTCTGGAGCTCAATCTGGCTACTGCCGTTAAAGATAACAAAAAACGTTTTTACAAATACATCAACACAAAAAGGAGGACTAAGGAGAATCTCCATCCTTTACTGGATGCGGGGGAAACATTGTTACAAAAAATGAGGATAAGGCGGAGGTGCTCAATGCCTTCTTTGCCTCAGTCTTTAGCAGCAATACCTGTTGTTCTCTGGATACCCAGTACCCTGAGCTGGTGGAAGGGGATGGGGAGCAGGATGTGGCCCTCACTATCCATGAGGAAATGGTTGGTGACCTGCTACGGCACTTGGATGTGTGCAAGTCAATGGGGCTGGATGGGATCCACCCGAGGGTAATGAGAGAACTGGCAGAGGAGCTGGCCAAGCCCCTATCCATCGTTTATCAGCAGTCCTGGCTATCGGGGGAGGTCCCAGTCGACTGGCGGCTAGCAAACGTGATGCCCATCTACAAGAAGGGCCGGAGGGCAGGGCCAGAGGGCAGACCCAGGGAACTATAGGAACCTGATTTCCTTTTATGATAAGATCACCCGTATGGTGGACCAAGGGAAACCAGCTGATGTGATTTTTTTGGACTTCAGCAAGGCTTTTGACACGGTTTCCCATAGGATCCTACTGGACAAAATGTCCACCATACAGCTAAATAAAAACATCATACGATGGGTGAGCAATTGGCTAACGGGCAGGGCCCAAAGGGTTATGGTGAATGGCGCTGCGTCAGGCTGGTGGGCGGTCACTAGTGGGGTCCCTCAAGGCTCCATTTTAGGGCCGGTACTTTTCAATATTTTTATAAACGATCTGGATGTAGGAATAGAAGGTATTTTGAGCAAGTTTGCCGATGACACCAAACTTGGAGGAGTTGTGGACTCGAATGAGGGTGGAAAGGCCTTGCAGAGGGATCTGGATAGGTTGGAGAGCTGGGCGATCGCCAACCGCATGAAGTTCAATAAGAGCAAGTGCCGGGTCCTGCACCTGGGACGGGGAAACCCTGGCTGCACGTACAGACTGGGCGATGTGACGCTGGAGAGCAGCCTAGAAGAGAGGGATCTGGGGGTCGTGGTAGACAGCAAGTTGAATATGAGCCAGCAGTGTGCCCTGGCAGCCAGGAGGGCCAACCGTATCCTGGGGTGCATCAAGCACGGCATCGCTAGTAGGTCGAGGGAGGTGATTGTCCCGCTCTACTCTGCGCTGGTGCGGCCTCACCTTGAGTACTGTGTGCAGTTCTGGGCACCACAGTATAAAAAGGACATGAAACTGTTGGAGAGTGTCCAGAGGATGGCTACGAAGATGGTGAAAGGCCTGGAGGGGAAGACGTACGAGGAACGGCTGAGGGCACTGGGCCTGTTCAGCCTGGAGAAGAGGAGGCTGAGGGGAGACCTCATCGCAGTCTACAACTTCCTCGTAAGGGGGTGTCGAGAGGCAGGAGACCTTTTCTCCATTAACACTAGCGACAGGACCCGCGGGAACGGGGTTAAGCTGAAGCAGGGGAAGTTTAGGCTTGACATCAGGAGGAAGTTCTTCACAGAGAGAGTGGTTGCACACTGGAACAGGCTCCCCAGGGAAGTGGTCACTGCACCGAGCCTGACTGAATTTAAGAAGAGATTGGACTGTGCGCTTAGTCACATGGTCTGAACTTTTGGGTAGACCTGTGCGGTGTCAAGAGTTGGACTTGATGATCCTTAAGGGTCCCTTCCAACTCAGGATATTCTATGATTCTATGATTCTATAGGCCTGTCAGTTTGACCTCAGTGCCAGGGAAGCTCATGGAGCAGATTATCTTGAGTGTCATCACACGGCACTTACAGGGCCACCAGGTGATCAGGCCCAGTCAGCATGGGTTTATGAAAGGCAGGTCCTGCTTGACGAACCTGATCTTCTATGACAAAGTGACGCGCTTGGTGGATGAGGGAAAGGCTGTGGATGTGGTCTATCTTGACTTCAGCAAGGCTTTTGACACCCTTTCCCACAGCATTCTCCTCAAGAAACTGGCTGCTCTTGGCTTGGACTGGCGCACGCTTCGTTGGGTTAGAAACTGGCTGGATAGCCAGGCCCAAAGAGTCGTGGTAAATGGAGCCAAATCCAGTTAGAGGCCGGTCACTAGTGGCGTTCCCCAGGGCTCGGTGCTGGGGCCAGTCATCTTTAATATCTTCATCAATGATCTGGACGAGGGCATTGAGTGCACCCTCAGTAAGTTTGCAGATGACACCAAGCTAGGTGCATGTGTCGATCTGCTCGAGGGTAGGAAGGTTCTGCAGGAGGATCTGGATAGGCTGCACCGATGGGCTGAGGTCAACTGCATGAAGTTCAACAAGGCCAAGTGCCGGGTCCTGCACCTGGGGAGCAATAACCCCAAGCAGAGCTACAGGCTGGGAGATGAGTGGTTGAAGAGCTGCCAGACAGAGAAGAACCTGGGGGTGATGGTTGATAGTCGGCTGAATATGAGCCAGCAGTGTGCTCAGGTGGCCAAGAAGGCCAACAACATAAGAAACAGTGTGGCCAGCAGGTCTAGGGAAGTGATCGTCCCCCTGTACTCAGCTCTGGTGAGGCCGCACCTCGAGTACTGTGTTCAGTTTTGGGCCCCAAGCTACAAGAAGGACATTGAGGTGCTCGAGCGAGTCCAGAGAAGGGCGACGAAGCTGGTGAGGGGTCTGGAGAACAAGTCCTATGAGGAGCGGCTGAAGGAGCTGGGCTTGTTCAGCCTGGAGAAGAGGAGGCTCAGGGGCGACCTTATTGCTCTCTACAGGTACCTCAAAGGAGGCTGTAGCGAGGTGGGGGTTGGCCGGTTCTCCCACGTGCCTGGTGACAGAACGAGGGGGGAATGGGCTAAAGTTGCGCCGGGGGAGTTTTAGGTTGGATCTTAGGAAGAACTTCTTTACTGAAAGGGTTGTTAGACATTGGAACAGGCTGCCCAGGGAAGTAGTGGAGTCACCATCCCTGGAGGTCTTTAGAAGATGTTTAGCTGTAGAGCTTAGGGATATGGTTTAGTGGGGACTGTTAGTGTTAGGTCAGAGGTTGGACTCGATGATCTTGAGGTCTCTTCCAACCTAGAAATTCTGTGATTCTGTGATTCTGTGATATGGTTTCCAGTTGGTCTGAGTTTGATATCTAGATTGCAGTGCTAAATGTAGTTCAGCTCGTACATGCTTTCTGCTCTATCCATCTTCCCCACCTAACCTTTTTAAGACATTTTTTTTCTTAAATTCTACATAAGGAATATCTCGTATTCTAACTGTAGCTACATGTATTATTAAAGAGTTTTTCAGCTTCAATGGATATATGCTTTTCCTTTTCCTTCACTCCAAGTAGTGGTCACTTTCCACATCTTGTTAGTTATCTAGCATTGATTTCCCTTGCTGTCTGGTATGGTCTATTCTGTTCGGGCTTTTTGAAGTAACTGATGCAAGCTTTCTGTTTTTTTCAATTGGGGATATTTTGCCCTAAGTCTTGCAATAATATACACTCAATTACTTTTCTTCTTCACTGTTAGATTTTGCTTCTTTTACTTATTTATTTATTTTTTAAAGTGAAGACTGTCATTTGTGCTCTTAAAATGTATCTTAAAGTAAGTGGTACATGTTGCAGGCAGTTGGTGATAGTATCTGTACTTTGCTCTCTGGATATTGCTGTTTTCAGGAGAGGAGTTGCAGGGTGGTTTTCCAAACTGCAGTCTCCTTGGTGTGGGAGTAATGTGCTCTGGGACTGTGCGTATCACCTCTGTCTGACCACCTTTGTAAGTCTAGGGCAGTAAGAGTGGGGTAGACCTGTGCGGTGTCAAGAGTTGGACTTGATGATCCTTAAGGGTCCCTTCTAACTCAGGATATTCTATGATTCTATGATTCTATGATCTCTTTCCCCCATTTCAGTTTATTGGTTTTAGCCTCTTTCACTTAGGGTCACTATTGTAGTAGATTTGTTATTTAGCAGGGTTTTAGCACAGCTGCTCTGCATGTGTCTGCAGTACTCAGCTGGCAACAGAACTCTCTCAATGTCCTACAGGAAACAAGATTTGTAGGGAAAGAGCAAGGCTGTCAGGGTAATATGGCACAGGAAGTGAACAGAGGTTAAGGGGAAAGTTCTCTCTGGATAGCAAAGAATTTGCAAATTAAAATCCTGGATAATTATAGAATAGAGGTAAAATAAACATTAAGTACCTCCTCCCAAAGCTCTCTACTGCTGAAAAAACCTTTTTCATTCTAGCCCATCTGACTTGCTAGAATTTAACTGGGGAAGCCAATGCTGACTGTAAATCTTGCTTGCCAGTTTAGCCATGAACACTTTATCAGGATATACTTCAGAGTACTTCCTGACAAACTTGTATCATCAGGCAACTTAGACTCGAATATGTAGGTTCTCTGTATATTAAGCTTTAAAAACGCTTAGGAGTCATTTGTTTCTTACTAATTTAGTTTTTGCTTTAAATTTGTGGAAAAATTATTTTAATGCCCGACATACTACTTATTTAAATATTAATCTGTTGGTATTTGTTTGAGAATCTTAAAACGAAACTGCTTAGATCATTTTAATTGAATAAACAAGAAAATGCAAGTGTGAAAAGATAATTGGATGAAATAATTTGTTCATTTTAACATGATTTATTTTACCTGTCATTAACTCTTCTTGAATGCTCCAGCTGGTGGAAATAAATTATTATATCTTATTCTCATTTTCAACTTTTGAAGTATAAACATTGCTTGTGAAGAAGAGCAAATCAAAACAAATATTGTACTTCGTACTGACTGCATTTTTGTGCTTCATTTGAAGGTCATTCTGTGAGACTGCTGGGTCAGAAAAAGGATAATGGAAAACGTTTGGGTGGAGCACGACTGGATTTGCCAAAGATCAGGAAGAATCCACTGATAGAAATAATTTCCATCAATACAGGGTAAGAATCTTCTGAACTTATAAAATATTCAGGACTGCTGAGAAATTCTGCTTATCTCTTTCTGTAGATCTGGTGCATAAGCTTCTAAGTAACACAGGAAGAGGAAGGATGACCACTTGTAAATAGTAAATGATTTCAAATGGCATTCTTTCTGAAAAATAAATCTCTGCTTATTTAGGTGCAAGACTTCTGCTGTTCAGGGCTGCATTCAGTCATGCAGTCCTGATTGCTTCATCTAACTGTTTTTCAGAAGAAAAAATCCAAAAAGCTTTTATAGGTTTTTTCATCTTTTCCCTTATCTTTTTCGTCTTATTCTTCTGAAATATCATTTGTAATTTACTAAGATCTGTAAACACCTGTTTGTCAACCCAAATGTATAAATGGCTAAATTAGATATATTTGTTTCTTGCCCCTCTAAAATGTTTCTAAGAGTTTTCATGCTCATCTTTAAGCCTTTGCTCTGTTTGAATAAACTAGTCTTTGCCTATCAAGCAACTGTAGATGCCTGTTTCTCTATAAGATTATGAGAATTTTTCTGCTCTGTATTTCTGCTTTTAGGAATTCTATCTGTAATCTCCTGTCCCTTCATGCTTTCCTTTTCTCCACTCAGTTATCTACCATTTGGCCAGTTTTCTAAAAACAGACCAAAACATACCTCTTCCCATTTTTCCCATCTTTTGCAATTTACATAGTAATTTCCCAGCTGGCGAATATAAAATGTGCTACTCTAGACATCCCAGGTAGGTGAGAACTTACTGCCTAGAGGACAAAAAACAAACAAACAAAAAAAAACCAGTGGTAGACCTTAGCTCGTTTTAAATTTAGTCTAACAGTTTCATAACTGTCTCATAAACCAGTTTAGCTACTATCCTCTTCTCTCCTTTTCTTTACATAATCTTTCCTTCATAATTTGATGTAAAAGCTAGTGTTCTATTTAGAACAGAATATCAGTTCAAGACTTAATGTGGTTATTTTTCTCCCTCTGACCATAAATGTATGGGTGACTTTTTCATATTTTTGTATTGTAATACTTTTTTAAACTGCAGACTCATGCATTGATTGTTTTTGAAGTCTACATATGAGCTCTTCTGGTACAGTTATTTGAAGTGTTCTAAATTTTTCTTTCCCTGTTGTCTTTCCTATAGATGACTTTTCTGTGCCTGTGTGATCAAAATCCTTTTCTTGATTAAAAATAAGTATTGTTTTATATTTGGTTATGTCTAAGTTTCAGATGATACCTGCTTTTCTTTTCCATCGATACTTATAACAATATAATTTAACAATACATTTCTAGTTGTAAATGTCAAGGTTGTAAACTAATTTATCCATGGTCTTGCTTACATGTCTTTTGATTTCTAATAGTACATTGAAGATGGTACTGGAAATAATAGGTTTTACTAGGTTATTGCTAGCCTAATGATAGAAGTTAATAGAAACAGGCTACTGTAGGATGTATGTACTATGCAGCTGATGAATACCAACCTTTATTATTATTTTTTTTTTTACAGATTTTTTGATTTGTTTTTATCTCGAACATGTTTTCATATTGGTTAAGACAAACAAACAAAGTATTCTAAAAATGTTCAAACTGTAGGCCATTAACATCTCACAAAGATGTTAACTTGGGAAGACCTCTTATTTAAGACATGACAGTTTACAAACCCTTATTACTCTAATTACTGCTGTTATTGCTGTTATTAGGTCAATATGATATCTATTTCATACTGTAGAATAACCTAAAAAATAGTAGAAGCCACAAAATAGATTTATTTCATAGAGAATGAAGTCAAATATGGACCAGAGTTTTGAAAACGGTGAACACACAGGTCAGTTGCATGAGGCACCTGAATTACCTTGCATCCTATTCTTTATTACAAAGTATGCTCAGGGAATCCTTTCTCTGTTGAAATGCAGGTTATTACTTTCTTATTTCCTTCTCTTCCTTTCTTCCCCCTCCCCACTCTCTCCTCCTGTGTATTACAGGTGACTTTCTTGCTAGCGTGGGGTTTGAAAATTAAACTGTAGCTGTACAAAGGCAGCAGCATTCAGTTTTCTCAAATTGGAATAATATAACCAGTGAAGAACAAAGCATAGTATGTGTTATTTATTGTGATCTGACTCTGTTCATTCTGTCAGCTTTGCCTTAGTAATCTACTTTTGATGATTTTTAGTAGAGTGCTCTTTACTGAGAAATGAACTTGGATCAGACCGGAAGGCCTTAAAATAATAAGAAATACCTAGTTAAAAAGGGTGATCTCCATTTGGGAAATACGTTTGTCTGGTGTCATTGATTGATAAGAGTCTGGGGTCAGCATGAGCAGGGCTGCTTGGTGAAGGAGGATGAGAAGGGGCTGGAGGGTGCCACCAGCCCACAATGCCCTCACCACCAGGACACCGCGCCAGGCGACCTCAGCCCTGTGGGCAGTGCTCACACTGGTGGCAGGAGCCATTTACAGTCCCTGACATGGCAAACAATTAACCAGAAACAGGCACGGGGCTAGAAGCAGGTACACTAAATCCAGGGAAGGGCTGGGGATGCAGGCCTGAGCTTAACTGGGGCTCCTCGCCCCGAGGGGTCTGGTGGAGATGGCAGCTGGGGCTGGTCGGGGCAGTTAAGGCCTGTTGGTGCCCTCAGGGCTGTGACAGGTGGCGGTCTGTTACCATTTAGTCTGGGTCTTAACGGGCTCTCAGCCTTTTCTGAGAGGCTTGTTGGGACATGTGTATCCTTCAGCCCCGAAACACTGGAGTCATTGATGCCTCATGCTAACCCCTTTCCCTCTTCAGTAATACAAATAACTTTATGTATGTGGACACCTGCCAGCTGGAACTGTTCTGAGTGTGCACGAGGGCCAGTTTATTTCTGGGAGTCTGTAAGCTTGCTGGCTACAGGAGTCAGAGAGATCATAATAAAACCGTGTCTGAGAACATGGGCACAGTTGAAATGAGAAAAAAACAAAACAAAAACAACAACAACAACAAAAAAGCCATCAAATAAGATTTGATTCTTAACTCAAGATGGTGTCAAATTCTCGCCAGCAATTCTGACTTGGGGCTTCTACTTACTGATTGTTTCTTCCCTCAAGCATGCAGGAGAAAAAAAAATCCTGTCCCAAAAGATTCTGTCCTTGTATAACCATAAACTTTTTTCTTGCCCATACATCCCTTTCAATGTTAATTTTCCCTGGACGGCTGTTGTATATGAGCCTGCTCAATTGTTCTGTCTAATGAATCATCTGTCCTGCCAAGGGACAAGGACATCATCTCCTCTAGAATATGCAGTCAGTAATAATAATAATAAAACAAAACAAAGAAAAGACACGTAAAACACACAAAAATTAGATATGGGATATCTGTGGAGGTAAGTGCTGTGCCACCCAGCTCAGGGTTCTCACACAGTAACACACTTATCCTTAAAATGATGTTGCTACATCTTTAAAAGGACCTGGTCCAACATTTAACTTTTTTAATGAATTTTATCTTTTAAGTACGGTTGCTCTGAGGCTTTCTGTTATCTCATTTAGAAATCCAAGCTATCTCCATCTGTTTAATTTACCATGGCAGTTTGTGATTCTGTCAATAAACTGTGACTCTAGAGAAAACCTTGCATCCCAGGAGCAATGTTTTAGAGTTCCTGAGTGCGTTTCCAAAGACTCTGTGGTAAGTACCACAATAGGGGCACAAAGGACTTAACAGGAGTCTCTGAAACACTAATATACATTAGTGAATCTTAATTTTTCCATGTGTCTAATACCATAAGGAAGCTTTACTCTCCCAGTATCCCATGTATACTTTAGGTTGACCTCCATAATCTTCCCCTAATTAAAAGTGTCCATTTCTTCCTATATTATTTGCTTTTACCCATTATCACTTAAAAAAATTACTTCAATAGTTTCCATACCAATTATTCTTTTCTTTTTTTTTTTTCTATTTAAAAGCCAGTTAATGAAAATCCACAATTCTAGCAGAGCTTGGATAGTTGTTTTGATATCTAGTGAGTTCTACAATGATATTAATAGATTGGAGCCTAGAAACAGTGATTTGTGCCCATCCCCCAAAATCATTTTCTGCTTTGAATTAAGTATATGTAGTTGTATCTCCTTCACTTTTTTTTTTATGTCCTAAGCATGTATTTTGCAGGTCATATTGCTGAAACAAGCAAGGTAATGGTAGAATAGCATGCTAAATACTCTTTAGAGAGAAGGCATAAAGATGTTTACTAATTTCCTAATGTGCCAGTTTACTAATTCCCTCTGCCAGTTTTTGAAGTAAGAAATAGAAATGTTCTGAAATCCAGTTTGCTTTACAGGTTCATTTTGGTCTATAGAAAAATCTTACTTTCTCTTCATGATCTAATCTTAATTAGTGCTAGTCTCATCATCTATCTACCCACTCAGACAACTCTCTTTAGTGGAATGAAAACTTGGTCTTCAACCTTTTATTTGAGTAGTTCTGTATCCTGTAGTTCTGTATTCTCTATTTCATAACTTGGACTGTTAGTTATTGATGTACCTGTGTTGATGTACCATGGCTTTAGCTCCCCTTTATCCTGCTGCTGCTGCCCATGTACACTTCAAGTATGATTTTATTTATCCTTTTCCTGTTTAACAACTTTGCTGGTGACATGGGCAGTGGGATTAAGGGCACCCTCAGCAAGTTTGCTGACGACAGCAAGCTGTGTGGTATGGTCAACATGCTGAAGGGAAGGGATGCCATCCAGAGGGACCCAGACAGGCTTGAGAGGTGGGCCCTATGTGAATCTCATGAAATTCAAGAAGGCCAAGTTCAAGGTCCTGCGCCTGGACCTGGGCAATCGTAAGCACAAATACAGGCTGGGTGGAGAATGGAACTGGGTGGTCTTTAAGGTCCTTTTCTGACCCAAATCATTTTGTGGTTCTATAATCCTATGCCTTGGGAAGCATGAAGGGAGTACGGTATGAGTTCTATGAGCTGGACATGAGCCCACACTAGAAGCTACGGTTGGGTAGGTTGCACATGCATCC